GACCAAACCATTTCGAGTCAACGGATCCCATCTTGACAATCACTTGTCCTCACACATGAATAAAATGACCAAATCGGCTTCTTACACAAGACATGACTAGTCTCATGGTTATACACCATATGAACCATATGCATCCCATGTCGAATCAACATGATGTCTCAGGTTAAGGATCAGTGGTACACTAGTATGACCTATGATGTAATGACCACATTCTAAATGTCCATGTGATTTATCGTAATCAATCATATTTGATAAACAGTTCACTAACCGTTTTGCCGGGCTAATGCCTTAGTGACATAACTCTCATGATTACCCATATAATACCATCACATGATATTCAGTGGGGACATTTGACAAGCCTACTATGCAATGTTATTGCCCAATTACATTACTATGTAAGGAATGCTTCAATGATTTGATCTTCTAAAGATCCGTGTCAGCGGACATTTCACATGCATTATAAATAATATAAATGAAGCAGTAAACATACATGTGAAATCAGAACTCTTTCTTCCATTCGTAAAGAATATTTACAAGATATAATGCCCTGAAATTGTAACATGATTGATTTCTAGGGCATACACTAACAGTAACCCGACATACCATACTGGTATGGGAATGGGTTTGGGTATGGGCGTATGGGCCACCTTGTGTGTTTGGTCAATGGTTGTGTTTGATGTGTGTAGGCCAGGATTTGGGTTTGGGCCATTGTGTGGATTTGAGCCTCTATTGCTAATGGTTGGGTTTGGGCCGATGGTCGTGTTTGGGCCTATATGCCATTGTGTGGATTTAGGCCATTGTGTGGAGTTGGACTTGTATTGCTAGTAGGTGGGTTTGGGCCAGTGGGCGGGGGCTCGTTATGGGTTGTAAGGTTGAGCTTGGCTAGTGGTGTTTGGGTTTTTATTAGTTGCCATCTGGATGGTTTAAGTTTTTTAGTGTGTGGTTGACATCGAGACAGTATGATCAAAAAGGAATTTGATTTCTAATGTGTATCTGTTTGCTTTTGTAAGGACAAAACAGAAAGGAAAAAAATTTTCTAATTGAGTATTCATTTGGCTTTTCAGGGACAAAAGACAATTAGAAGAGCGGAAGCTGGAGAGGCTCTTATACCATGTCAGAGTTTGATAAGCGGCAAGAGTGACAAAGACTGAGAAGGAGAAGCCAGGTATGCCAAGAGAGAAAGAACAGAGAGAAAAATTATGTATTCTGTGGTATTAATTTCTTACATGTATTCTATCCAATTTATACAAAATATGTAAGTATAGAATGGAAAATAACTGTACTGAATGTACAATTACACAAATTGGCAAAATAATAATTGGAGTCAAGGCTAATCTCAGCGTGACCAATCAGGGCATGATTTCAGCACAAGAATCACTCCTGTGATTACTACATTTTATCAACATGGTTTTTGCCTATAACAAAGATATGGGGGTCTAGCCAAAGTAAGACAGGAATAATTTACTCGTAATAGTTTTAGAATCTTCCAACTCTGTCACCTAAGTGGCCCTAGCCAAAGAAGTTGCATGAGCTTCTCTTGGAGTACATCTTATCTTTTGAATTTGTCATCCAAATGGCCCCCATGTATGAGATGTCGCATGAGTTCTCTCTTAGACTATCTTGTCTTCTAATTTTTTACCCAAGTGCTACCATGTTTGAGATTTTCAACCGATCTCTTTTTTTCGGGCATCTCCTGTCAAATGGAAGGGATCTTCATCTAATAGATTCTCTATGTTTGTCCAATAGTCTTGCTACAGTTGGCCACTTGAATAATTGCTCTTTGTCTGTTCTCATATGAAAGATGATGCTGACTAGAATCTATGAATTTGTTTTCTTTTATGTGGTAATCTTATCTAACCTTTGAGTGAGATTCTCTGATTCTCTCTCTGAACTCCATTTTTCTCCTTAACCTCTATTTTCTTGTCTAGATTAATTTCTGAGACAAGAGTTGAGGTTGTAGGACTAGGGGAAGTATTTAGGTTTGAGAGGTAAGTCCCTTTTTGGAAGTTAACCATATGCAATTGCTCTTTTAGTGGGATTCATGTGTTTAAGTATCTAACCTAAAAGCTTAGAGACAAATATTGGCAAAGCCCTTCTTCTAGTGCCAAGCTACTTGTGCAAAAAAATGACTTGGGCAAAAGCTGTGCATGAGAAGTCTTTAGATAGGAGAAGGTATGTAGCCACTACACAATTGTGGGTTCAATTGAACCACTCAACTTTTGGAAAAAATCAAAACAGTCTTATATTTATAGAATTTACAATTTTGACCCTACATAAATTTGAATTAATTAACACTTTTTTTACCCTTTTCTCCCTTCTTCATTTCATATCCTTTCCTCTTATCTTTCTTCTTCTTTATATGGATTACTCAAGAAAGACTATTTTTCGAGGTTACAAGATAAGATGATGCTCATTTTTTTTTTTTTTTTGCTTAAAAATCTTTTCTTTAGCTTTTTAATTGATGAAAGATCATGAGCTACAAGTTTTTGTTGAGTTTAATAAATGAGTTTGAAATTGAGAGATTAAATTCCTAAATTTGATGTGGGTTTTGATTTAATTTTGTTTATGTTGAGGTAGAGTTAATTAATTGTTGTTTTAAATTGGGTTTGATAAATTTTTGTTAGTTATTAAGTTAATTTTGAAGGGTTTAAAGAATTGATGAAACCTAAGTTTGAGATTGAGGAATTGGTTTAATTTTGATATATTGGTAATTGCTTGTATTTAGAGTTAGATTTAATGAGTTTTCATTGGTTTATTGGTTGAATTTTATCGGGTTAGTAGAATTTTTTTTGAAAACCCTAAATTATAAGATTTGAGACATTTTTTTTTTTTTTTTTTGTAATTGATAAAAGATGTTTTTGTTGAGTTTAATAAAATGGGTTTGAAATTGAAAGATTAAATTCTAGATTTTGAAAAGCCTTAGTTATAAGATTTGAGATTTTAATATGTATTATTGTAAATTTATCAACTAGATGTTTTGAACCCAGTTACTACAAATACTAGCTACGTCCTCGGATAAGAGATTCACTAAGATTGGGAGATTCCCAAGGATTTTACATTCACTTAAATAGCAGAAAAGAGGCGTTTTATGCGAACCAAGTGAGATTACCCTTGTCGGCTCGTAAGGGGGGTTTATATAACCTTTGCCCCATGAACATGAAAAGGCTTTTCAAGGATATGTTGCCATGATTTTTACGGCATAATGGTGCCTAAGATGGTGGCGAATGACCACGTTTTGGCTAATAAACATTAGAGGTGGCAGAGAAGTTGATCTTCTAAAATGTAGGAAGTGGGTAGTTAACATAGATTGGGGAGCAAGTAGACCATGGGTGATTGGAGATATTATGTGACACTTGCGCACTCATGTTAACATATTTGGGCCTCCTTCCTGTTGGATAAACTTCTTGGGTTTGGACCCCAGGTGGCCCAAACCTTTAATCCGGCCCATTTTCAATATTTGATTGGTTATGAACCCTTGTTCATATATTTAGGCCCGTTTATCAAGCATTCACTCATTGGGCGTCATCATCTTTGGAAAGGTTGAAAAATTATCCCTCAACACCATTTAACCATTAAATTTAACATTTAAAATTGAAAACTGGGTGAAACTTTGATTCTTTTCAAAATTTGAATTATAAACTTTTACTTATGTTAAACCTAGGGTGAGATAGTGTAATTTGGCCTATTGTAATGTTATGGCAATGGTTTGGCTTTCAAAAGAGAAGCTCTTTACTTTTACGCATAGTCTTCATGTACAATTACTCTATTTTTAGTCACATGATTCTTAAATGATTAAGAAATTATGCTATATATTTTTAGGTGTTTAAGATATATTTTTAATTTAAGTTTTGTGCGAAATTCATATCAAACTCGTGGACTCATGCAGTAATTAATATTTCGGCATAATCTTCATGAAATATAAATTTCTTAAGATATCATACAGGGGCGTAGCCAAAAATAATGTATAGGGGGGGGGGGGTCAAAGTTAAAAGAACAATATAATTTTAAATTAACATAAGCATAAATTTTGTATTTATAAAATTCTCATTAACTAGTACATTTATAATTGTCCTCGACGGGATTTCATCTTTTGAAAGTATTGTATAATGACTTTATTATCAATACTATCAAATACATCTTTCTCTATATTCAACCATTGATCACTCATTCTATTTTGCAAATATGATTCTTCACAAAATTCATTGTTGAAAATACTCTCTCTATACTAGCAGTGGCAACGGGTAGAATCAATGCTAATTTCATCAACAAATAAACTAATGGAAACACTCTATCCTTCTTAGTTTCAACCATCATTTTTCCCAGATCTCCAATCCCTTTCAATCCCATAAATTTGACATTAGAGTGCATATCCAAAATGTAAACATCAAGTTGAGAATCAAGTGCCGTGAGTTCTAAGTCAGAAAAATCATCAGGATAAAGTTCGGCAAGGCGTATCAATTTCTGTTTATCAAAAGCAACAAACGATTCATTTTGACATAAACATGCCAAACAAATAAGCAATTCAGTGTTTACCTCATTGAAATGATTATTCAACTCTTGAAGCTGTATATCTAGGACATTATAAAATAATTCAATGTGGTAATGATGCACGTTTGTGATACCTTGAGCCTTATCGCCCTCGAATAAAAAACTTGTCATCCATATTAGGAACATCAATGTCATGATTGGCACAAAAAGAATAACTTTGCTTAATGAAGTCTCCCATCCATTATCCCTCATCAATTGTAAAGCTTGCTTACATGCTTCAACCAAATTCATAGCATTTACAATATCTTGATCTTTTCTTTGTAGTAGTGCTTGAGAAAGTTCATTTGTAAAGCCAAGTATATCTTTCATAAAAAATAGACTAAACACAAAGTCAAATGATTGCATCAATTTAAATATGTTTTTTGCATGAAATCTTTGCTCAGAGTTTGACCCATCTTTTGCCACAATTTCAAGAACATCGATAATGGATGAAAACATCAAGATTATGCTCATTAACGTACCATAATGCAAGCCCCAACGCTATCACTAGCACGTTGCAGATTAGTCTCTTGATTGAGACATTTTCCACTTGAAAGTTCACCATTAGAAAGAGTTTCAATAACTTTACAAGCTTGCTTATCTCTAAGAAGATTGCAATGCTTTGACGAAGCACAGACAATATTAACCACAATCGCCACGATATTAAAAAGATCATTAACATCATCATGGTTCTTTGCCAAAGCCACAAAAGCCAACTCGAGTTGATGGGCAAAGCAATGAATATAATAAGCACATCTATTCTCTTTCAAAACCAATGTCTTCGAACCATTAAATTCTCCTTGCATATTACTAGCTCCATCATAACCTTGTCCTTGCAGTCTAGAAAAACTCAACCCATGCCTTGAAAAGAAATTATATAGTGTTGTCTTGAGTGAGAGAGTTGTGGTACTAGTAACGTGTTCAACGCCTAGAAAAAGCTCCACAACAAGTCCATTCTTGTTAACATAACATAAGACAATAGTCATTTGTTCCTTCCTAGAGATATCACGAGATTCATCAATCATTATACAGAATAATGAATCTCCTAAATCTCTAATGATAGCACTTACGATTTCATTTGAAGCAGCACTTACAATGTCTTTTTGAATCTTAGGTGATGTCAATTTGAGATTATCAGGAGCATTCTTGAAAGCAACAACATTGTAATCTTTATTATGATTAGCAAGAAATTGTAGAAGCTCGAGAAAATTCCCTTGGTTGCTTGAATCATAGGATTCATCATGACCACGAAATGCAAGTCCTTGCCTTAGAAGAAAACGAATACAGTCAACTGTAGCATTTAAACGAGTTCGATACTCTGTTCGTGCTTGAGAAGAATGTCGATAAAAAAATGTTTGAATATGTTGGTCTTGATTCAATAATGTTTCACACATTCTTCGAGCTTGGTTATGAGCACTGTTAGAACCTCCAACCTGAATATTCAATTTTTCTTTCTTTTTCCAATTTGAAAACCCTTGACCAACAAAGCGATCACCACCCCCTTTATCACCATCTAGCTTAAAAAGATAGCAACAAAGACAAAACGCAGCATCTTTGGCTATACTATATTCCAACCATTGTTCAAATTCACTAAACCAAGAAACAACAAAACGTCTTGAAAATCCACCAAAATACCTAGAAGGAAACTCATGGCCCCTAGGTTGACAAGACCCCCTTCCAAATATATTCTTCGAATTTGATCTTGAGTATTCGGATCATAATTTGAAATTCGAGGTCTTAAGCCTGGATTCGTAGGAAGATCTCACAAATCAACATCCACATTTTTACTTGAATCACCAATATTTTCCTCTTGTTCAAATGATGAGATCATTGTTGACTTTCTTTTGAAATATCTCTCCATACTATTTCAAAACAATAATATATTATTACTTGATAGAGAAAAATGCAACAAAATAAGCTATGTACTCAGTAAAACCAAACAATAACAATAATCTATGTATACAATAATAATTATTAAGATAAGTGAAATTACAACTACTACAAAAATTTATAAAGCTAATAAGTTAAAGTATTCTAACAATACATACACATCACAACTTAAAAGTTATCTCTTTCTAATTTGTAAGTACTTTACAAAAATTAAATTAAGTAATAAATTGAATTGAAATAGATCTAATGCAATATTTTTTTTAATATATCTTACATTATATACATTGGCTAAAATTGAATTGATATCGTACAAATCTATTCAAATAACCAACTCTTGTACATTAAATCCACTTTTCATAACACTTGTAAAACATTAAAATTAACTCCCATTTGAATCAAACACTTTTTATAACAAATATAAAATGGGTAAAATAATGTGGTCCCAAGAATGAAGAACCCATCTTCTCCATAAAAAAAAAAAACAACCAAAATTGCCATTGGCCAACTCCAAAAATCCATTTGAATCAAACACTTTTATATAACAAAGTAAAAAAATGGGTAAAACAATATGGCCCCAGAACTCATCTTCTCCATATAAAAAAAACACAAATTCGGCTATAATGGTAAAACAATGTGGTCCCAAAGCCAACTCCAAATTTCATTTGAATCAAACACTTTTATATAGCAAGATAAAATTAGTAAAACAATGTGGTCCAAGAACTCATGTTCTCCATATAAAAAAACAAAAAAGGGCAATATGGAATGGGTAAAACAATGTGGTCCCAGGCCAACTCCAAAACAAGTTTAAACTATCTTCTTACTTCCTCTAACTTCATATATCATTACAATAAATAAAAAATGGATGCAATTTGTGGTCCCAATGACAATTTCATCTTCCTAAATCCTATTCTATAATTTAATCTTAAACTTTTAAAATAAATAATACAAACATAATATTATTACCTGAAAAATTGAAAAAAAAAAGGGACTTGTTGCTTGATAGGAGGAGAAAATTACACTTGTGGATAGCCTTAAAGGAAAAGAATTGGCTTTATAGTTATCGAAGAGGAAGAAACCGTCTGAGGGAAGGAGATTGATGGGTTTACTTTTAGCAGGAGAACGAAGGGTTTACTTTTTTTCATCACGGGCTCCAACCAAAAAAAGTGTAACTTATTGGGTATAAATATATAATGCAACTTTTTGTTATTTTAATTTTATTGGGGTAATTTGTGAAAACATAACAAAAATTTTAAAAGTCAAGGAGGGTGAACTGACCCTCCTTGACCCCCCCTCCCTCCACCCTTGATATCATATAAGCGTCACTCCCTCTCATGAAACCCATTTTTTTTAAGCTATTGTATAAATAAAAATGAGAAATAAAAAAAATAGTATCACTATATTTTATCTATAATGATATCAATGGCTAGTGAGTAGTGACAATTATTATGGTAATTAGTAGGCAAATGTACGAAACTCATTTAAAACAACAAATCCGAAGACCAAACTGATATGGTAAAAGTTTGATTAGGGTATTGAGCATACACAGTTAACCAAATCTAGAAATAGAAAGCTATAAAATCTGAACGACATGAACTTTCTTATATTATATATAATATATATTATATATTCTATATCTATATATATCTATAAGAGTTTATACTTCAATAAATTAATAACCTCGATTAAATAATATTTTTTGCTGGTCCTGACTTTGGACTAATGTGAAAAATTAATAATTTGCTAGATTTGTAAGATAATACATTAAAAAAAACTAGGTTGATGATGTTATTTCCAACTGCTATTCCCTATACCACATTAACGTACAATACACAATATATATGTTGATATAAATACTCGTACCAACCAGAGAGATCCATTGACCTTGACGGAATCAGAACTGATGTATTCATGATTTAATGAAAATTATCAATGTAAAATGAATATGTGTTAAAGCAAAAACATGGTGTCATTGCATCTTCCTTGTGTGTTCTGTGTAGGTCTACTATAGAGACTCATGATCATCTGTTTTTTAGCTGCAACTTCTCTAGTTATATTTGGTAGGAGGTCACTACCAGGACACTCTCTACATGGCCTACTCTCTCTAGGTTTCTTTTGCTTTAGTGGGCTAGCTTGCATCTTATATGCAAAGGGGACTTTAGACACCTTCTTTCTCGGTTAGTCCTTTCAGCTACAGTTTATTTTTAGTGGTCTGAATGCAATAATCCTATGTTTCGTCAGCATTGCAGCTCTTGGAGAGATACTGTATTGGCTATTTGTGATTTAGTCTAGGCCAAGATTTTAGGTTTAGCACCCAAGTATGAGATCTCGGCCCAACTCCATGCGATATGGCATTTGCCTTATTAGTTTTTTGGGTAGCCAGTGTGTTCTTTTTATGTTGTTTGTGGCTTTGTGGTTTTTCCATATGTTTTTTGACTAAGAGTTTCAGTCATTCGCTTAGGGTATGCCCCTCATATTTTGTATAGATTTTTGTTTCTTTTATATAATTCTTACAAACAATTTTTTAAGTGGTTCGACAAGTTGAGATTTAAGCCTGTGTCCATTGTTTTCCTATTGCTTTAGAGAGCTTACAAGAAAATATAATAATATGCCTAGAACAAAATTGCTAACCCCTCTCTCATAGTTTGAGGGGGTATTTATACAATTTTTAATAAAAGGAAAGAGAGATAAGTTCGAGATTTCGATCAAATTTGATATGCAATCTCGTGATCTTCATGATTGAGTGTTGAGATTGCGCTGTTGGCAGTGTTGATCTTATCGCTTCCAAAATATCAGAGATTGAAGCCTATCTTTGATTTTATCGAATAGAAGTTAGGATTGGTTGCTATGACAAGCTTCAACTGAATCGAGCTTACTCCGGATTGTACTGATTCTAGGTCGAGCTTGTTCTTGAGTCCAGTTGATTTTGGGTCGAACTACATCTCTGCGAGCTTGCTAGCAAAATCACACACATCTGCCCCCCAATGTTCAGAGGCCGTGTCGAGCTTTGAAGACTAAAGTTGCTTGATTTGCTTGATTGATTTAACTTGCACATATGTAGCTGAGATTATCCAAACTTCATCACTTGACCTTAGCTTCACCAGATGTGACTGAGACTTAGCCTCTTGTTGTAATGCTTTCGAATTTGAAATTTGAAATGAAGGGCACAGGGGTAATTTTTGGGCTGACACGTCACATTAAATGCAACCAACTTTTTGCAATCACTTTTCGTTGCACGTGGACTATAACATTTGGCCATGCGTGGAATTGAAGTGACATGCGTCGCTACTTGCGAAGTCGAAGCAACTTGTGCCGGTGGTTATCATTGCTCGATTTGATGGTTGATCGCCCCTCATGGATTGTCGCCACTTGTAACCATTGATCGGTCAAGATTGCTCGGTGAATGGAGGGTTGAGATTCGTCACAAATTAATAGCTTAGATCAACTTCCGCTATTTTTTCTTCTAACTCGCCACTATAAAACGGGATGTTTGCCCTTATTTTTCCGTTCTTGTAATCTCGAGGTTTATTCCTACTTGATATTCTTCTTCTTTGCTAACTTTGCGTCTTGGTTTCATGACGACTTCCCGTCACTTGAATTTCAGTAAGTGCTCTTTACACTCGCTCTCCTTGTTTTCTTCAAGTTTTTTGATACCGAGGTGGCCACTATCATGGCCAAGTTAGTTCTTTTGGGTTTAAAACCCTCTAACCTTGGGTTTCAAGAGGGTCTTGATGAGCGACCGCTGGAATCCTTTGTTGGAATTCTCCGTCGGTTGCTAGGAATCTTGATAGCTCATTTGAGTTTCTAGGTTTAGCTTTAGGTTTCTTTTTGTGCGAGCTTTTTGGATGCTTGAACTGGAGGCAAGTGTGGATAGGTCGCCCATTATCTGACACTTGACACTTGTTTTCTTTTTTCAGGTATCCATGAGCGAGCTTGGTAAAAAATGTCTTCCCATGATGTCAGCATAGAAAGAATGTTCTCAGAGGGCTCTTTAGAAGCTTTGGCTGATGGTGGGGAGAGAGCTCAGGATGAGCTCGCTGCTGAGGCTCTTGACAGACTATGAGCAGTGGGGCTAAAAACTCGCTAGACTTGAGTGAGGAAACCCCTAATGCGAGCCCCCCGTGTCAATCTAGGTTTAGAAAAGATCCGACCTTATCGATCACCAAAAATGATCTTGAGAAGATAAGGGAGAGCTATGCGATCCCAACCGAATACTCTTTTCACATTCCAGGAGATCTCTTGTGGAAGTATCCCCCCATATGTTGGGTGGTGATCTCTGAGACTCTTTTGAGGTGTGGTATGTCTATCCCACCTCACCAATTCATCTCCGATGTTTTAGATAGTTTCAATGTCGCTCCCTTTCAGTTGACGGGGAATTCTTACATAATAATGGTAGGCATGTTCATTGCCTATGGTTTAGAAAAAAAAGTAGGTGAGCTATTTGTAGAAGAGCTCGTCCATCTATACATACTGAAGAAAGGTTAGGGTGACACTTTCTACCTCTCCAAAGTGAGAAAGACCCATTTGGATGGGTTGATCAATGTCCACAAGAAGCTTAGAAACTGGGATTCTGAGTATTTTTCTATTGCTCTAGGGGCGATGATGCTTTTGTCGATGAAGCTTGTGGGTATTCTTGCTTCTTTTCTTTATTGTGGTCCTTATTGGTCAACTTCTAACTGTCCTTGTCTTGTTTTGTAAAAAAGTCGAGCGAACCGATGTCGGCGCAGACCATAGGAGACGGTTAGGGGCTTTCAGTGACCTTTTCGAGAGTTGTCGTGATGTGACAAAGCTAATCACGCTTCCTCATTTGAGAGCATTTTGGTTTTGCCCAAATTCAGCACATTTTCCAACCATTTTTGAGAAAGGTAAGTGTGGAGTAGCTCACCTTTTCATATTATTCTTTGTTAGATGCAACATACTCGTTGTCATTGCAGAGATGTGGGC